TTCCTAATATTTATCAAGTTATATGTTTCTTTAAAATATAGTAGAAAACAAAGCAATAATCAGTAGGAAGTTACATACTTAAGTTCAAAATATCACATTATATGTGTGAATTTTTTGTTATGAAATCACATTATATAAAAAATATATATTTTCATATAATAAAATACAGATATAAAGAAAGTATTTTATTAATTAAAAATTACATTTTATGTTATTTAAAATATTTTTAATGGATGTTACTATTTTGTTAATTATCCCTTTTAATGAAATCATATTATATAAATATATATTTTCGTTTTTAATTTTTCCTTTTAAATTTTATAGATGTTTTTTCTATTATAAATTTTAGTTGGAAATTTTTAAAAAGGAAACTAAATACAAAATTAATAATACTATTTTACTGTTTTGATAGTATATTACTATTTTGTGAATTTTCCTTTTTAATGAAATCATATTATATAAACATATATTTTCGTTTTTAAATTTAATAATTTTTTTCTTTTTTATTATAAAAGTTATTTGGAATGTTTTAAAAAGGAAAGTAAACATAAAATTAATAATATTATTTAAATATACTATTTAAATATATTCATTAAGGGTATCATTGTAATCAACCATAAAATATATTTTCAAATAGTTTATATACTTATCGTCTTATATATGTAAATATATTTTAATAAGATTATGTATAATTTAATATATCAGTTGCTCATTCACTTCTCTCTAACAACTACACAACATCTCTCTAGGTAATTTTTGTAGATACATATGATCAAAATATATTAAGTTATTTGGAAGATTATGAAAATACATGTATACAGGTATAATATTATTATTATCTGAGAAGTCAGTTTCCTATGTGTCGCGCTCACATTAACTCTCGCGATGGTTGATTACATAGATACCCTTAATGAATTGTTAGATTTTAAGATTATTATTAATTTCTTTTTGTAATTTCTTTTTTACATTTTTCCAAATAACATATATAATAAAAAGGAAATATTTCTAAAATTTTAAAATAAATTTAAAAACGAAATTTTATTTATATAACATGACTTTATTAAAAAGGAAAGTTCACAAAATAGTAATACCCCACTAATATATATTTTAAATAACATAAAATATATTTTCAAAATAATAAAAATATATATATTCGTGAACATTCAAAAATTTATCAGTTACAGTTTATTTTCTAATATTGTTTAAAAATCAACATATAATTTGACAAATATTATGAAAATATAATTTGATATGACTTAACTAAAATAAAGAGTAAATAAATATTATGAAAATACATGTATATTTAATAAATACATAAAACTAATTTGATTGGACTTAACTAAAATAAAAAGTAGTTATATTTCAATTTTAATTTAAACTATATTTAACTCAATATACTCACAAAATGAATGACTCGACTAATCTAATTTATATCCAAATTAAACATCTAACTACAATAAGAACATATAATTTATAATAATAATATATTTAATTTTATAATATTATTTGAGAAGTCTGTTTCCTACGTGTCGCACTCACGTTAACTCTCGCGATGGTCGATTAGATAGATACTCTTAATGAATTATTTGATTCTAAGATTATTATTAATTTTTTTTTGTAATTTCTTTTTTACATTTTTTCCAAATAACATATATAATAAAAAGGAAATATTTCTAAAGTTTTAAAACAATTTTAAAAACGAAATTTTATTTATATAATATGACTTTATTAAAAAGGAAAGTTCACAAAATAGTAATATCCCACTAATATATATTTTAAATAACATAAAATATATTTTCAAAATAATAAAAATATATATGTTCATGAACATCCAAAAATTTATCAGTTACAGTTTATTTTCTAATATTGTTTAGAAATAAACATATAATTTGATAAATATTATGAAAATATAATTTGATTTGACTTAACTAAAATAAAGAGTAAATAAATATTATGAAAATACATATATAGTTAAGCGATACATAAAACTAATCTGATTTGACTTAACTAAAATAAAAAGTAATTATACTTCAATTTTAATTTTAAAATATATTTAACTCAATATACTCACAAAATGAATGAATCGGCTAATCTAATTTATATCCAAATTAAATATCTAACTACAATAAGAACATATAATTTATAATAATAATATATTTAATTTTATACATATAAATTAGAGGTTGACTCAAAGCATATTAAAAAGAAAAAGAAAATATTAACCAATTACAATTTAATTCTTTTGTAGAATTTATAGATATGCATGAGACTTAAAAATATTATCATTATATTCATTTATGTAATTCTGAATCAAGCACTTCAACTTATTATTTATTTCTTCTTAAGCAAAATATATATTAAGTTATACATAATTTAACCATAGTATATTTACATATCTAAGAATATATTTACATATCTAAGACAATAACGAACCGAAATGAAATAAGAAAATTAATCAAAGTTTATTATATTTAGAATAAAAATATTATAGCTGAACTTGAAAAATAGATATTATTTAATATACCAAATTGATATATAAACCGACTATTAATCCAAAAAATAATTAAATCGAAAATAATATATCCAAAGTCATATATATAGTTAGAATAATATAATATATTAATATAAATTATAAATATAAATTGCTTCAAAACTAAAACTAAATATCAATTAATTATTATAAAATTTTACTTTTATGAATGTTCATACCCGTGCATGAGCACGGGAAAATCACCTAGTTTTCAATTAATTTATAATTTGCATACATGATTTATATTAATAATATTATTTTACTTTAATTAGACATATTATTTTAGAAATATTATATCTAGTCAATTTTATTATTTTATAGTCGATTTTACTGTTATTATTTGGGTATATTAGATTACATTCTTTTATATGAATTCAACTATAATATTTTTTTATTCTAAATATATTNTTCCTAATATTTATCAAGTTATATGTTTCTTTAAAATATAGTAGAAAACAAAGCAATAATCAGTAGGAAGTTACATACTTAAGTTCAAAATATCACATTATATGTGTGAATTTTTTGTTATGAAATCACATTATATAAAAAATATATATTTTCATATAATAAAATACAGATATAAAGAAAGTATTTTATTAATTAAAAAGTACATTTTATGTTATTTAAAATATTTTTAATGGATGTTACTATTTTGTTAATTATCCCTTTTAATGAAATCATATTATATAAATATATATTTTCGTTTTTAATTTTTCCTTTTAAATTTTATAGATGTTTTTTCTATTATAAATTTTAGTTGGAAATTTTTAAAAAGGAAACTAAATACAAAATTAATAATACTATTTTACTATTTTGATAGTATATTACTATTTTGTGAATTTTCCTTTTTAATGAAATCATATTATATAAACATATATTTTCGTTTTTAAATTTAATAATTTTTTCTTTTTTATTATAAAAGTTATTTGGAATGTTTTAGAAAGGAAAGTAAACATAAAATTAATAATATTATTTAAATATACTATTTAAATATATTCATTAAGGGTATCATTGTAATCAACCAGTGTAAGAGTCAACGTGAGAGCGCCACATAGGAAACTGACTTCTCAAATAATATTATAGAGATATGAATTCTAAAAACTTTGTTACGTGTATATCGTTAGTGGTATGTTTAATTGAAACAAGTAATATATATTTATTGACTAATTATTTTGGTAAGCCCAACAAATACCAAGAAAAGAAAAGACAAATTACTAATGTTTATAATATGTATTTCATGTCTCAAACACAAACTAAGTTAGATACTGAATCATATTATCAGGGCCGGCCCTGAAAATAAGGGGGCCTAAGGCCAATTTTAACAATTTCACCTAAAAAAAATTTTCTTATGGATTTGGGGACCTAACAAAAAATTTTAGGGACCTATATGCATGGAACTTTTTTCAAAAAATTTGGGGGCCTAAGACCAATGTTTCATTAGGCTTGCTCCAGGACCGGCCCTGCATATTATAAAGGTAAAAATAGAGATTTAGGTAGTCTAATTACTGATTAATTAATCAAAGAGAGAAGAGTAAAAGACTTTGCCAGTTTCTGGTCCACCAAGCTTCGAGTATTTTTTATTTGGTTTGGATCAAGCAATGGGCTTCTGTTTGTTAATAACTAAAACCAATCAGATTGGCCATTTTGTTCCCACTCTCTCTTAACTACTCCGAGTTTTGAAATAATGCTCTCGAGACATGCAACAAATACTAAACAGAAGATCATCACACAATACTACTTTTAGTTAACAACCATTATCAAAGTTATAAGAAAATTAATGAGAACCCAAGTCCTCAAAGTTTGCAAGGGTGCATAAGGCGACATTTTATCCGATTTAACCCGAATCAAAACCCAAAAATAAAGTATTTTAATTTTCCAAACCATTTTGAAATAAAGAAACAAACAAATCCATCTCACACTTCTTCAAACACAAACCAATCTCCACACCACCTGACTCATCCCTCCTCTCAGACATAGAAAACGCCTCGCTCCGGTCAATAGATACAGTCTCACATCTAACCGGTTTCCCCCACCCAAAATCCGACTCATACAACCCAAACCGGTTCGACCCAACAATTGACACAGTCTGCGTACCCGGTTCAACACTCTTCGTCCCATCAATATACAACTCGCAAACCCCTTCAATATTTCCCGAACCAACAACAACTCTAACCGAACCGCTTATAATCTCAACCGCTTTAACAAAACCATCTCCTCCCGACACAACTCCCGCTCTATGTCCGAAACACCCTGTCGGAAACACACAGTTCCCAAAGTAACTCTCTGGAACCGGTTCACCCAACCGGTTCCTAAAATCAGCAGCGTACATAAACCGAGCCGGTCTATCCACGTCACCACCTCCACGCGTTTTCACCAAACACGACCAAAGGTAAGCGCTGGTGACAACAAACGTTGACAAGTGAAGGTTAGACCGAGTTGACTCGTGTTTAGCTCGTTCCTTGAGTTTGTCAACATTATCCGGAGTCAACTCGAGCGTGATCCGGACCATCTCTGGACTAATCTCCACAACAGGAGGTAGCTTAAGCGATCTCACACAGTTCTTGTCTTCCAAAAAGTTTAAGATTCTTGCGTCAAGAGAAGCGGGAACGTTGATGACGGTACGGTCAAGACACGGAGTTAAGTCTATGGTGCCGTGTTTACATAAGTGGGCCCATGATTTTACAAACATAGACATTGACTTACCGTCCATAGCTGAGTGATGAGCTGTTACACCGATGGAGAAGCCTTGGTTCTGGAGGAAGAGTGTTACTTGGAGAGAAAGAAGAGAGAGCGAGTGAAGCTCTGGTACTAAAGAACGTATCTCTGTCTCGGGACGTGGCTCTTTCCCTGAGAGAAAGGAGAAGTCAGCGTCGGTCTCGGCGATTGTTAACGTGACGTGGTTGTCTGGGAGGACGAGGATGTGTGGTTTTGGGTCTTGTGGGTCCCATGTGAGGCGGCCTGCGAGGGGGAGGTAGTGGGTGAGGACGGTGGAGAGGGAGTGTTGGAGGTTGGGGAGGATTAGAGAGTGGAAGGAGTTTGGGTTGTGGAGTTTGTAGA